ATACATTATCATCATGTCGAAGGGGTGGTAAAGGGGGGGGGGGGCGTCTGGGCGCGGACACGAGTTCTCCGCACACGTTACAATTTTCGAGAAAAGTGGTCGGGTACGTGGGTACGCAGGAGAGCGGCGCCGACGGCGGCGGAGGCGGCAGCGGCCTGCAGTGCGCGGCTCTCTAGGAAGCTGCTGCGCTCGCTCGCCCGTGCAGCAGCCGCAGCCGGTACGGTGGGGCGGGGCGGGGAAGACGGCGGCCAAGGACGCGCCTCGCCTTTGTTTTTGTTGTTATTCCGTCGACGTTAAAATGTCGCCGCGCGACGCTCCAGCCGTGGCGTGGCGGGGCGTTACTCACGTTCCTAGCAACTCGGGGGGCGTGGCGGGGCGAGGTGGGGCGGGGCGGGGCGCACCTTCTCGACGTGTCTGTCAGTCAAGACACCGGCATTGTTATGAGTGACCGCCGCTGCTGCACCTCGCGCCCGCCCCTTCCCTGTCTCGTCCAGCTGGCGGTGGAAAAAGGAACGGCAACGGCCAGCGGACGATAGGGTGCGGCAGAAAAGAGCGGAGTGAGGATGGTTAGGTTGAAGAGGAAAAGAGGGGATTCATGGTAATGGCAGCAGAGGACCTTGGGAAGGACGTCGGTGGGTGGGGCGAGGGCGAGGGAGGCTCTCGGAATAAAAAGTATGGGGCAATGGGCGAGGGCGGAACCCCATCTCCCAATTTCCGGTTCACTCCAGTTTTGAAACAGCGGGCGACGCGACCCACTCAGACCCGCCCCCTCCCCTGCCGGCCCCTAGGTGACTCAGTGGATACCTTCTCCCCCTCTCTAACCCTCCCGCACCCCAGTGCCCGCCGAGCCCCTCTCATCCCACACCTTTATTCAATGGTCTGCCCGTGCCCCCCCCTTTCCTCCTCTCGCGGGCTTCACTTCTGGGCCCAGAGATCTGCGATTGATATGAGCGGGCGTGAGGAGGAAGGAAAGCAGAGAGGCAGAGGAGTCTCTCTCCCTTCGTCTCTCTTCTCAGCTCCACCCCTCTCCCTTATACACTCACCCACTGCAGCAGACACACACCGACAACCCTCCATCGCACACCTGCCCACGTATTCGTGCCAACCAGTACCCAGTCAAAACATTGCAACGACGCGGCATGGACAGTTTAAGTTTAAGACACTTATGAAATGAATGATACAGTGTCGCGTCGACGGTGCTGCAAATGAAAATAGCTGATGTTAGAAAAGCCGTCACCGTTTCAAACGCCAGAGCACGCGGAAGCACGTACTCACACAACTGGCCGCCTTACAGGTAGACAACTAGGTCGCACTCGTGCGCGGCGGGCCTGCCTACCGCACCAGGCGCTCCCGCCCGCCGTGCTGCGGGCCGGTAGGCAGCTAGGTCGCACTCGTGTGCGGCGGGCCTGCCTACCCCGTTAGGCGCTCCCGCCCGCCGTGCTGCAGGTCGGTAGGCAACTAGGTCGCACTCGTGCGCGGCGGGCCTGCCTACCGGACCAGGCGCTACCTCCCGCCGTGGTGCTGCAGGCCGGTAGGCAACTAGGTCGCACTCGTGCGCGGCGGGCGTGCCTGTGGCGCACTCGCACTAATTCTCCCCGCCCCCCTCTTTCACACCTCCGCTTCCCTCTTTTTTCTGCAGCTGCAAGTGCGGCTCCAGACGAGAGGTCAATGGCTATATGCAAATCCCGACGCCCAAGGTCAGTGCTGCCGGCGCTGCTCGCCGGGTGAGTCGCTGCAGCTGCCGCCCGACCACCCGACCATCGCCACTGCGCTTGTAATGCCAATGTTTCAATTTCCAGCCCATGGCCGAGCCTGGACTTCGGTGGTGGTTGGACCTTGTTTACTTTTTTTATTTTTAATTTGTTTTATTTTCTCATCCAGCCAGGTCAGTGGCCACTTTGCTCCCTCATTGGTGCCCATTGTGTACGGGGGTCTCCAATGGTGTCCTGCAGCCGATGCGGCTCGGCGGCGGGGCCCGCAGGCTATTGACGCCACTCTTACATTCGCGACCCTTCCCCCTCCTCCCCACTCCCCACCTCACCGCCTGATAATCGAATGAAGCTGGTGCACGGTCCCCACTTCTCCTCCCTCCCGGCCCCACAGCGCACGACGCACGCCCCCGGCCGTGCAGGCGCACAGTGACTCTACGATGACGACGAAGGAGCCAAAGAACAACAGAGTGAGGTAAGTTTAAAATTAAAATAAACGTAGGGCCCCGTGCGTTAACATTCTGCACGGGGTAGCTGAGCGAAGTGCATTAAAATAACAGAAGAGGTAACAGTATAGAACAAAACTATAATGAATATGGGTCCGCCTAGTAGGTGGGCAACCAGTTCTGTCCCTTTAACAACGAAAGGGGGGGGGGGGGCTGCCAACTATTCCGTCTCTATAGCAGGCCGTCTAAGTGATGGGGAATTTTTGTCTCGAGTCTCATGTGCATTTAGGCAACCTACCGTCCTCCCCCCACCCTCTTCCCGGAGGAGTGGGGGGGGGGGATTACTTCACTACCAATTCAAGCGTACACCAATTTTTCTGATTTTTTAATTGATTTTCCTCTTTTTCCCCTTTATTTTTCTGATTTTTTTCTCGATTTTTTCTTAATTTTTTTCTTTATTTTTGTTGTTCTTTTTCTGATTTTTTAAAAGGGTGCACCCTAAATTTTATTAGGTAAAGTACCACCCCCCCCCCTCCTCCCGGCCAGCCCTATCGCGACCTGGTCTGGTTGGGTCGCTGTAATCACCTCCAGGCCCTGGAGTCCAGGGTTCAAATCCCTTACAACCTCCCCCCCCTCCCTTCCACAGAATGTACTTTTAGTGAGTAACTTGAGTAAAATTACTATGCAATACAAAAGATTTGGAAGTCCACTATCAAATCAGGATTTAGAGAGGCATAGCTGAAGAAATCTAACACTACAAAGGCTTGGAAAGGCTGGTTTCCACTCATTAAAATACATGGTTGATTTGTTTTGGTAAAGGCACAGCTGTAACAGTGGCTTTGAGAGGGGGGGGGGGGGCTTAAATGTATGTGTTGCTACAGTTAGTTCATGTGTCCTACTGTCCCCTCCTATCCCCACTGCCCTCCCCCTACCTTATGTACCATTTTCTGTACATTTCATTCTAACCAAATCCATTTATTTTATGAAGGTGAAATTCTATTAGAATGCCTCTGGTTTAAATGAAATGAAATACCTTAATATTTAATCTAATTTCAAAATACATTAAAACTTCTCTTCTACGTCAAATATAACTTGTCGCTCTTTGATTCAGTGTCATCAGATCTCTCTGTGGCATTGGGAGGATCACGAGTCACTGAAGTGTATTTAATTGAAAGTTCTGTAATGTATCGTATCATATGGTTTAATGTCAATGCTCTCACCATTTCATTGGATACCATTAAACAGAATCTAACTCCAGACAAAGATAGTCAATTTAAGACAATGATATTCCTCGTTCTGTTTTCGATGGGGCCTTTATGCTACCTGAGTATGCGATACTGGAAATAACATTGTTCGGTCCCTTGCAAGTCAATGGCTATTGTGAAAATAAGTTGTGTGTTCAATAATCGTTTTGAAATGACCTATTAAAAGATTAGGTGACTTCCAATCATCCTAAGTAAACACTATTGCATTATGTTCAAATGAAAAAATTCAAAATTTTGATTTTTTTTTAGAAGTTACAAAATTTAAAGAGTAATACAAGATTCGGATTCCTTTCTCAAAATTAAAAAGGAAATGTCTTATGCTCAAAGCCGATCAGAGTTGAAATGACAATGTTATTAGCATCCAAAGGGGTAAATGTGTGCAAAAACGACCAAATTGTCAATTTGGCGGGCAATAACTCTGCCATTTCGGTTCCGATCGTCTTGGAGCATAAAACATTTTCGTTTTCTTTTGTCAAGATGAACCAGAAACAATAGTCACCTTTTTACATTTCTCCCGAACCACTACCCCCCCTCCCCCTCCAAGTTACGTACGTAAACACGTAAACCATTCGAAATATCACTTTCGTTTCTTCTCACCAGACACTCGCGAAACTTCGTAGGTCGAGTTCCGCAACTCTAAAACTAAAAATATTTCACTCGGTTTGACAATCTGACGTTTTTGTCACTTGTGAGAGTGTTTCAAAAGCTTGAAGTGGGCGAGCCATTCGCGTGTTTGCGCTCTTTTCTCCCTCTCTTGTCAGTGTTGCCACCACTGAAACAACAACATCTGAAGCTCTCTATGAAAAAAGAGAACGATATATTTCAAATCATCCCGACACTAACAAAAAGGGGAGGTTGAACCCCTCTTAAATTATAGATGTCGCAGCAAATTTGCTTTCCGTGATAAGCATTGCCGTTTTTCATAAAAAGTGAGCCGCAGGACACAGACAGACAGACTCACGACGGAGACATCGCCTGACCCCTCAGCGACTTGGACTGAGCTTCGCTCAGCGACAAAAGAAAACGGAGGTGTTGCTGTCAGTGACAGCCCCTTGTTGCGGGTTTAAGCGCACCGCTGCCAAAAGAGCTTGGATAACATGAACTGAAGCCGATCCCGCCCGCATGTCCGGCACGTGGTGCGGGTGAGGCGAATGCTGTTTGCTTCATACTTTATCCGCGTGACACTATTGCCACATCCTGAGCACTTCCAGTGCACCCTACTTTACGACTCAGCTGGAATTTGAGCCTAACGAAAAGAAAAAAAAAAGTTTTCTTCACTCGAACCCTTTTAAATATGTTTTGCAGTAATTTAATTCGTCATTTGAAAATGGTCGTGAATAAAAATTTGAGAACGTGAAAATGTTCCAGGATAAGGAAAAGTGTCCCAGACACCAACATCACCAACCTCAGGTTCGCGACTTTTTTTTATCAAAAAACACCACAAAAGACAACTGAAATAAAAACTTGCATAATTCATCGGTCGAAAATCGTAAGGTTCTTATCGAAGATGTGGTTTGTGTCAGCAAGGTCCATAGGAGAGGTCAAGAACACGAGAACGTGTGCGCGAGGAGCACAACCCACCTTAGTCGGCGGAGCGGGCGCTGGTCTTCCCTCTACTCGCGCCGCGCCGGTCGGCGACCTGCAGCAGCCGGCCGCGTGTTGGCCAGCGGAGGGTGCCCGGGCTGTAACGCTGTGACTTCGATGTGGCGGAGCCGGCGACCCGGGTGGCGCGTGTCCTCGTCGTGGTCCTGGCGGCGGCGCGCGCGCGCGTGTCGTGACGCGCACGCCCGTGACCGTCAAGCTGTCCCGCCCAGAGAGGCGTGGGCGCGACTAACGACCACGTCCTCGGGGTGCGACCGCGACTCGGACATGTCCTCGCGGCCACCTCGTCGTGGTCCTGGCGGCGAGGAGGACGGCGAGCTTGTCGATGTTTGGGACGAGCCCCGCGAGAGGTGCACTCTCCACTCCGGTTACAGACCGACTCGTCTACTCAGCCGGCCGCCGCTCAGCTCAGCCGGCCGGCCGGCACAGCCACGCGGCGCCGCGCCTCTCCTCGCCCCACCCCGCCACGCCCGCCCGATGCAGCTACGCAGGGAGCCGGGTGAGGGGCAGAGAGAGGGAAGAGAAAGACAGTGGCAGGAAGGAGGGGGACGAGGAGGGGGCGAACGGAGCAGGGTCAGGGGTTTGTTTTGTCCTCCACGTTTGGCGAATCGAGCAGGAGGTCGGCAAGGGTCTTACCGGGCGGTCGAGGGGGGAGGG